CCCTTCTCTCTCTCTCTCTCTCTCTCTCTATAGTCAAAGGGAAGAGGGCGAAACGCAGAAGGAGATCGTATCGGGTGATTAACTCTCGCGATCTCTCGAAGGGCCCGAAGCCCGAGGCCCACCTCGTTAGCTCTGAGTAATTCGAGCGCTAATTGCGCCTAAGAGCGAGAGGAAGCCAAGAAGCGGCGAAGAAGCGGAGTTCGAAGGGGGTCCGGGTAGTGGCAGCGAGAGAAAGAGGAAAAGAGGGCCAGGCAAGTTCGTGATAGGTGCCAAAGACTCCCGAAACATTCGGGATGTGGCGTGGCGGGTGTGAACCGGGAACGGGCGTGCAAATGAAGGCGCAGAAAACATCTTGATGTATCATTTATCACCCGTTCCTTGCCCTCTCCTACGTTCCTTCTCGAACCTTCAGTAGTAACTTCATTTTCGTCCATCAGCCTCCACTTCGAATCTCTCTTTCTCTCTCGAAGAAGAAGAAGTTTGATTGAAATATCGAAAAACGAAATTAGATTATCTTGTGATTTCTCTTGTTTATGATTATTCTGTCGGAGGAGAGGTATATACAAACGTTTTGCGAAAACGATGATTAATAATGATTGATGTTGAACGATTGTTCTCAGGGGCCGCCAAACGCGCAGAAAACCTCGGTGTCGTCCACGACTTCCGGTCTCGGCTCGGCACCACCCGGCGAGACCAGCTACGAGCTTCTTCTTCAACAGCAGCAGCTATTCCTCCAATGGCAGCTCGAATGGCAGCATAAGGTACACGGAAAGTGATTGCAGGGAATTAGAAATGTCGTTATAAAGCGTCCACTTTCCACGCTCGTTAGTAACAAGCGAATGGACGAATCTCAACCGGATATGTCTCGTTAACGCCACGTCTATCTACTTTCTCCACCATGATTTGCATAGCAATTACGTTATCACGTTTAAATTTATAATCGAGCTTCGGTTACGAGACAACCAATGCCGGTTACCCAATTCGAACATTGATTTCATATGTATATATATATATATATATATATTTGTGTGTGTGTGTATAAGCAAAAATTCGTTGCGTAATTCGATTACTTTGTTTAGTATCCTCAGATCATTCTACCGGCAGCGCAAAAGCCATTGTCGTTGAACAGTAGCGGGGCAAGTGACGCTGGTAGCATTAGCGGAAGCAGCTTGAACGCACCGAGCCCCGCACCCTCGAATTCCTCCAACAATCCCTCGGAGCAACCACCTTTGAGGCCTTTGGGCAAATTGGAAGATATGAAAGGTGAATATCGCTTCGTTGTTTGGATAGAGAATGATTAATTGTCGAGGTAAATCGTTATCCTTGCAGTAAGTGATCTCAAAGTGGAGTTGAAACGTCGAAACTTGCCTGTATCTGGCTCGAAACCGCAGCTGATCGAGAGATTGAAGCCGTTCACGGAATCGTCTAGCGGCAACTCGACGTCTAGCTCGAATGGGCCCCACGTGACGCATATGGGCCACATATTGATGGACACTCCGGGGCCAATGACATCCGACGAGTCTAGCTCTCATGCCAAGAGTCCTGGCTCCGCGGTCAAGGACGAGCCGAACAGTCCACGGACGGATTCACCGCATGGCAGCGAGCACGATGATCCATCCAGTCCTCCAGGTACTTCAAACTTGCCGATATATACTTCTTCCGAATTATAATATTGTATTCACAAGAGATTAAAATTTCGAGAAATGAATTTTTCGGAGCGCAACACACGTCGGTGTTTTCACGATGTAGTCCGTGTTTCAGGGGACGACATAATCAAAGAGCAAAGGAAACGGATAGAAGAGTTGCAACGTGAATTGTACAAATCTCAACAGCAACTTCAGCAGATCCGTCAGACCCAACCGTCTACGGTTCACGCTGAGAAGCTGGTGCTGCAGCAACATATACAGAACAAGATGCAGCAGCAGCAGCTGGCGCTACATTTGCAGCAGTTGCAGCATTTGCAGCAGCAACAGCAGCAGCAGCAGCAGCAGCAACAACAGCAGCAGCAGCAGCAGCAAAGTCAACAACAACAGCAGCAGCAGACGCAGCAACAACACGCTACGTTCCAACAGCTGAACGCGAAAGCTAGCCTCGCCGCGTTCCTGCAGGCACAGCCAAATAACACTACTGCCATTCTAGACTCTTCGACTTTGACCGCGATTAACAATAAGAAGAACCAGACGAAGAACAGCGCGACAGTTCAAATACCTGCTGCGATAGTTTTTAATCTGCCCAAACCTACGAAATTGAATGGAACATTGTTGAGCGCGTTGGTGGCACAAGCCCAACAACAACAGCAACAAACTGTTACCACGGAGGATGGAAAACCGCCACCACCTCAGTACGATGAAGCCGCGAAGCTATTAAAGGTGAACGATGATACCTACAACAGACATAAAAGATATATAAGAAGAAGAAGAAGAATTTGTTCGTTTAAACGACACTATTCCGTTTCAGGTAAAAATTGAACCAGTTCAAAAAAGTCATATCAAGAGTCAAGTGGTGGATGACGTGCTGGAGATCCTGATCAAGAATGGCGAATTACCACCAAGCGCCGCACAGGACCCGGCAACGCCAACTACACCCAACAGACAGCTACAGCAAAACTTGGTGTTCACAGCGCCAGCGGATAGCCAAAGTCATTCGTTGGTTTTCGCCGCTGCTAGTCCAATCAGTCCCATCAGCCCCATCGCGATGGAGGTTTCCCAGAGCGATTGCGTGAGTTCACCGGCGCCGGCGC